AGAGTGAGAGTAGAGGCTGGGGGGCAGGATGAGGTGGTCAGAGTCAGGGTTAGAGTGAGGGGTGTTCAGGGAGGTCAAGGTCAGGGTAATCTAGTACCACATTGACAGGCTAAGACCAACACCACAGATACAGAAACATCTACATATTTTAGCATGAGATGATAGAGCAGCCTCTGGGCATTAAACTGATATATTCCATATTCCCATAGCCCATGTAGTGGTGGAGATATTGTGGTTTAAACAATGGAGGGTTCTATGGGACGATAATACCGTATTAGGTTAGCGTATATTTTCTACAGCAGCGCTAACCCGTTACAGTATTATCGTCCCAAAGTCCCGGTCAGCGCAAGGAGTGGTTAGATGTGGATGAAATCATGCATGCTGGCTCTCTACCAAACATATTCAATGCTATTTAAGTTGCAGGTCAGTGGAATAGTCTAGTACCACATTGACAGGCTAAGACCAACACCACAGATATAGAAACATCTACATATTTTAGTATGAGATGATAGAGCAGCCTCTGGGCATTAAACTGATATATTCCATATTCCCATAGCCCATGTAGTCGTGGAGATATTGTGGTTTAAATAATGGAGGGTTCTATGGGACGATAATACCGTATTAGGTTAGCGTATATTTTCTACAGCAGCGCTAACCCGTTACAGTATTATCGTCCCAAAGTCCCGGTCAGCGCAACGAGTGGTTAGATGTGGATGAAATCATGCATGCTGGCTCTCTACCAAACATATTCAATGCTATCTAAGTTGCAGGTCAGTGGAATAAAAATTACGTTGTCAATCAAGGATGCAATACCCCCATTTACTTGAGGAATTGGCTTTTAGTTTGACCTGGAATTGGCTTTTTTGGTGAGAACTTGGCAAGACTTGGCAGGGCTTGGCAGGGCTTGGCAGGTTTTAAAACCCAAGTAAGATCACGTGATAAAAGCCAGGTAAAGATTATGTAATCTGACCCGACTTTTCTTACATAATAGAACAGTATTATATGTTGGGCACTAGTTGCCCAGGCGGCCCTCCACCGCACGTGATTACCCCTATATAGTTAGCTAGCGATCGCACAATGAGAAGATCAACCATCCCACAGGTTATGGCCCGGATCGCAGATTTTTAAGACAAACAGACGTTTTGATTAGAATACGCTGCGACTGATGTTATATTGGATGAGTTAAACATTATTCCCCTGAAAAGAGAGCTCTTTGCCTATAAAAGTGGTGTAATTGACGGAATTGCTGTCGAGACTGCTGCAGAGATTTCATTACTATCTTGAAGGGATCAAAAACTTATTTATTTATTTTCATTCAGAACCTCCCTAAGTCAGATTGATTATGAGTGGTTCTCGATTACCTGCGACCCCAATATCAGGAGGTAAGAAGACACTACGTTCGCAATCAAGGGTCCCCCAATCCTTCCCCCCTATTACTGAGCAAGAATCCGGCTCAGAAGCGGAGGGTGATCAAACTGAATACGCGATGGCAGAGGAAGATATGACAACCTCTGGCTCCGCACGCGATACTGGCAAGATGCCAGAACGCGAGGAATCCGAGGATGGCACGCCCAGTCCTATGCCGATACCTACGCCGAATCCTAACGGCATGGTGACCATGGCAGCAGCAGATCTCATTGCACTCTGCGAGCGACTGATATCAGCACGCGCGCCGCCACCTCCTCCACCTCCTCCACCACCTCCACCTCCTCCGAACCCTATACCAGAAGAAGATCCGAACATGCTGGCTCGCGAATACCAGAAGGAAGCGCAGGCCTCGTTGAACACAAAGTCCGTCACCACGTTCGATGGCACCAACTACCAGACGTGGAAGATGGCGTTCTTGTCGGATGCAGAAGTGATCGGTGGTGCAAATAT